TGTAATTTTGCCTTAAAAATGTTGTAATACAATGTACATTTTAAATTACATAAATGAAAAGACTAAAAGTGTACATCACTTTTATTGCTAATTCATCTCTATGTTTAATACTCTTCATAAATTTTCAAAGACAAATATTGGAATGCGCCCGGGGAAGTACAAACAGACAAAACAATCAGACAGGTCAACAGTAAAACTACAAGTTGAACTTTTATAGATGGTGAAATTGAGAGATTGCATGGTATGGTTATGGTACAGGTGTTTTGATGGAAAGTTTGTTTGAAAAAAAAAACACTGGCGTCACCAGTGTACTGAGCTGGAATGTTTTAGTTCTGATCAATGCATATGTTTTTGTGTGTACATGTATTTGGTTTACACAGCCAAAACTAGGGTTTTTTGCACCGAATCAATCGACAAAAAGTGACATTGATTACAGTACAGTTCAAAACTTGTTTACCAAAACGCAAAACATTAACACATGTCAAATGCATATGCACACAGGGGTAACATGCCAGCACATTAGTATATTCAAATATTGTTTGGAGTAAAAACACGAACAACAGTGGATGGCATTATTCTTTGAAAAATAAAACATGACCTTTTAATCTAGATTCGACTTGGATGTAATCTATTTTTAGTACCAGAACAGTCCCTCAAAAAAAAAATATTATCTCCATGGATAGAGAGGTCCTGTGGCATCAGGAATAAAATAGACGTTTCTTTTTCATTGTCAGTGTTATTTCTCATAAGCTGTGTAAATGGATTGGATTTAAATCTACTAACAAAGTACAGTATGATTATCAGGTTTAAATAGTATATCGGCATGATGTCTTGTTTTGCTATTAAATGCACTAATTTTATTTTGGTATAAAACGATTGATCCTGCCCCGATTTTTTCAGTTTAAATGTTGATATATTATTAAAATTAGTCTTTTGCGTTAATACATTCAATGACTATTACTGCCAATGTTATTTTTATTGAAAGTATGTTTGACATAATTAATTATGAAATTAAACTACAACGCTCCATTCTCGTTGTCAATATGGAGTGATTATTGGGCAGTACTTGAAGAGAAATGAAAAAGGAAAATGCAAGTAGTGATATTTCGTTTTACTTGTTTCCACTGCAATTGTTGTTGTCATGATGTCATGGTGCTGAACCAAGACTACAGCAGCCATCCAATGAGAATTGTGAATCCACGAAGTTGTTTTGACAATTTGTACATGTTTTTGAATGACAAACAATATGTTAATTTATGCAAATTACATGATAATTGTTATGCAAATTAACTGTAACTCTAAGGAAAATTTCTGGAGAAAACACTGAGCTGACCTACATGTGTATGTTCAAAAGCTGAACTGTAAACAAACAAAATGGCTGAAGTTTCGGAATATGTCGCACCGAATCAGTTTTTGAAGAAAATGACATGAGAAAATAAGGTATACCAGGCTAGTGCAGATTGTTTTGTTGTTTACAGCAACGCACGTCTTACATGAATGTATAATTTATATTCAACAATCTGCTAATGATGAATCGATCGGTCCAAAATTATTTAGAGCGAAAATTATTTTTTACAAATTTGAAGATGCCCAATCAAGTATTTACTTTAATATGTAAATTAACAATCTTCTAATTATTTGTTCTCTGCTATGTTTTATGTCCACTGTTGTTCTCTGCTACGTTACATTTTTGTATATGCCGAATGTTGTTCTCTGCTACGTTTTTAAGCCCGCTGTTGTTCTCTGCTATGTCTTATGCCTGCTGTTGTTCTCTGCTACGTGTTATGCCAGCTGTTGTTCTCTGCTACGTCTTATGCCTGCTGTTGTCACTACTCAATATTTTATGCCTACCGTTTTTTTCCCAGTAAAATATTTTTGTTGGTATTCCCAAAAGTCTCATGTCCTCAGTTACGAGGCATAACAAATCAGTTGTTATCAAAATAACTTTATCGCAACTTGAGATGATACCAGAGAGTCATCACCTGTGCATGCTTCAGATGGCCATAGCGTGTCATTGTTTACAAACAAGTGTCTACCCATGAGCTTTTGCGTTTTTAGCATGCATTGTTATCTTTGCTTGAAACTTATGATTTGAAGGATGGCATTTTGGAGTTTATTTTCAAAACATAACTTGTTACAGAACCACCCAGGCATCTCTATTTTGAAATATTGCTGTCGCGTGTTCATCGCAATAAGCTGCAGGCCTCCTCTGTTAACTCCAGGTTGGAATGGTCATATGATAACACAATCTTAACGCAGCGTTAACGTACGCAAGCACATTAGGTTAGCAAGTTTTGAGCTGTACTGTACCTCAACACATAAAGTTATGATGTCGAATGAACCTGATTGCCTTGAAAAATTGCTAGTTGCAACTATTGAATTTGTTTTTTGACAGTTTTAAATCTCACAATGAAACAAATTTTAAATAGACAAAACATGCATAATTGTATAAACCAGATCATCATTAAATGTTACATGTATTAAAACAATTGATTTACTGGTGGAAGAAGGAATGGATTCTTGAAAAAAATACATTTCTCTGCAGATGACGTGTGGTGTTTCGACCCCATGGCTGTGCTGGGGCTAGGGAAAGTCCTGATATGAATATCCCCACTAAGACAGCCATGTACGCAGTGCTATATAACTACTAAGTACCGGTACATGTATTTCTCAAAACTAGGTTGGTGACCCCATTTTTTATTATTTCTATATAGTAGAATAATCTGCCAGTGTATCAAAATGTGTTTGTAAAACTTTAGTGGCCATCCTTAATGAAAAGCTGGTAAGTTTAAGTTCACATCAGGTATTTTACCACCATGGTAGAATTGTCTGGTTATTAATATCACGAATGGCACTATAATGTTACGGCATGGCGTAACGTATGGTGACAACTTCCGTATGTCTCACGCAGTACTGACATTCTATTTCCTGTATAATTTTCACACCCGTCTGTAAAACAATTCCAAATGTGGATAAAAAAAAGTAAACGGTTGACTTACTTTATTGCCGTCTTTTACATTGAGATCTTTCAGAGCTCGTCGGGTTCTCGGGCTTGACATCTTCGATGATTTTGACTCGACAATAAATATAAAGCCAAAAAAAATGGAGGGAATCAGTGCAATAAATCAACTGATGTGACTGATATATGTGTCTCGCTCTGTGTTTTTTTAAGTAATTGATGGAATTTGATAATTTTTCAAGGTGGGTGATGTGTCACTTCTCTCAATGACGTTTTCCGATGTACGCCATATTGAAATTAATACGGACTGCCTAACTGAATAAAAATATACACAAAGGCAGCAATTTTATCAATTAAATAAAATAATAATTTCATAAATATAATGTAAAAGTGGTGTAACTAGTGCCGACAAACATTATTAGTTAAAAGGGTGTAATCGAATGTTTCACTAAAATGCCAAAATTCGAACATAAATTGGCGTTAGCTACCACCTAGGCTGAGAAAAATTCATACCCGGATGTTCGTCACTGGAGGGAGCACCTGGCTTTGTTGACCTCAGTGAGAGATTTTCCTTCTGTCAACGTACTTTGTGTTATTGCGAACGAGAGTCGGGCGATCATCCTGTGGGTTGCACTATGCGTTCGTGAAGTATTGAAAATCACCCAGTGCTTGGAACAATATGTCGAAAGGAGCAAAACAAGGCGACAAAGGGTTCGAGACTCCAAGACCATATAGATTATAAGTATACAGTGTGATTTTTAACCGCAATCACTCAATTTTGTTTACTCTTTCTTATATGTTTGTCATCCCTTATTTGCATCTTAGCAAGCAAGTTATTGCAATATAAAATTGTTTTAGGAAACAACAACAGCTATCCTCATGTTGGACGGACGGACGGTATAACGCCCTCTCTGGCAACAATTAAGACTACAACCCGTTGCTTTTAAAGTAATGCCTCTGGGGGCGTTGTACAATCGGCTATCAGGCTATCATCATGTTCATATTAATTATGTTTACGTAAATGATAAATTATAAAGGTGATGGTTCAGTGTAAGTTTGGTGTACTTGCCTTGGCTCACAATTGCCTGTGTTGGAGACCTGCTTCCTTTCCTTGTAAATTTTATTGGAAGTTCTTGAAATAGGAATGCTCTATCCTCAGGAGCGGACATCCAGGCATTTTCACCGCCTGGCAACCATTGCGGTGAAAACAAAGGCCGAAAACTGTCAGAGAACTGTACTTTGAGATGGTTGTTGAAACTTGCTGAACAGTGTAACAAGATCACCCCTGTGTGTGCAACATATATAAATTTGGTTGTTCATGATTACTTCTAGGTTGAGTTTGTGCTGTTTTCTTGAATTTAGCCATTTTCACCGGTTCTTCGAAAGTTTTATATGAGTCCATGTGACACATTCAATATGTGTGATATGTGATGATGACATATATAAAATGTTGTGGGAAATGAGAGACGATCACTAATTGCAAGACAAACATGACTTCCTAGAAATGCAAATAAGTGAGTCAGTGCTCTTGCTCATATCTATTTGCTTTCCATGTGTTCATTGAGTTCTGTGATGCTTTTGCCTAGAAGTATTTTCGATTGACTCGCTTGCAGAATAAGATCTTTATTGCATATCACTGCACACAGTTATCAAAGTTACACACATGTATCTTATAAATCCATGATAAAATAATTTGTTCATTACAAAAAATGGCATGATGATGGCTTGACATACATGTTTTTTGGCACTTTAAAATTCTACCAAAACCACAGTCGCCTAACTTCAATTTTATGTGGTTGGAAGCTGAAGTCTAGATTACTGTAAAATACTTTATTTTTGCTTGGAATTATTTTTCGCTATTTTCGCTGAAGGAATGACTATAATCCAGTGAATATATTTTACATTCAACTTGACAAAAATCAGTGAAAATAAATTCAATACAAAACACCCAAAAAGTGTTTTCAGCGAAAATTAATTCCAGCTAAAATAAAGTATTTTACAGTAGTATACATGTAGTTTAGTGATTGGATGACATTACATTATCAATCTGTTTTTATTCTGTAATTTGAATATTTTGAGATAGTGTTGTATCAGGATATCAGGAATAGGAATCCCTTTATTAGACGTTTCACCCCATAGTGTTTTTGAATTAAGGGAAGGTATGACTAAAACACTTGGCTCACATGTAACTACAAGCAAATATCACTAATAAATTATGTTAGCATATGTATCAGTCACTAATAATGTTGTTATTTTTCCTTTTTTCTTCACGAGTCACCAAATTCTGTGTATCACTGGTGTCAATTTCCAGAGACGGTCCTTAATTGTAAGTATACAGGGTGGCACACTTTAAACAAATGTTTTTCAATTAAAACATGCATATTTCCACTTTTAAAATCATAATTTTTATGTATGAAGTCATCTTATAAGACAAATGAAATTTTTTTTTTCAAAATCATTATCAAGTATCTTTTGCTTTTATTTGTGTATGTCCAGTGGGCAAGGTTTTAATAGTTCCACTATGTTTTATTCTTATTTTGCAGGGATATGTAGAACTACATATTATTCCACTGAAACCCAACCTGAACCGAATCAAGTTGAACAGCAAGCAGTGTAATATCCTTTGTCTATCGATATACTTTTTTTTACTGTACATTTAACCTACATACATAGATCCACTGTGGTTTAATTTTTTGCATACATGTACAAGTGTACTAAGTATACCCTGACAATTGTGTTTAATAAGTGTCCAACTCAACATACTGTAAAACATGTCTTTTTAGCTTGCATGTTATTTTAGCTAATTTAGCTAATCTGTAATTTCGCTAATACAAGATATAGCTAATTTAACAGAAAGTCTATTCTCACAGGGAGATAATCAACACTTAGCTAAATTAAGATTCTGTTAATTCATGCCAAGAGTCAAATCTGCTAAAATTGCATGCAGCTATTTCAACGTGTTCTACAGTATACAATACTTGTAAGAACATTGTTTCCTTTGAGTGCATGCTGTAAAACCATGTTGTGGCACAATTACATATACTTTAGATCTGTTAAAAAGGGAAGGATGATATACAACATTGCTTTTGTCACATTTGGTAACTCATTATTTGTGTGTGAATAATTTTGTTTGCTTACAAAATTCGATGGGAGGAAATGATAGAAAACATATTAACATTGTGTATTTTTGTTTCAAAAACTTGTCATTAACCTTGACTTATTAGTGTAAGGATTTATCGAGTATGTAT